ACCTGCCTCGATGTTTTTCAAGGTGCCAACTTTCAAAAACTATTTAACAAGGAAAATGAACCACATCAAAACTTAAAAGATCAAAACAGAATGCAGAGAAATATGTAAAAAATTCTTATGAGAGGTTTGTTATGTATAATTACTAATCCAGAGTAAATAGAAGAAAAACAACTCTAAATTGTTTACTTTAAGAATATAAAGTGTACTACTACTAATAATACCTAATTTGTTCTAAGTTTTAAATCCCAAGCTAATTTGTTCTGAGCTAATATTGTTCTAAGAGCTTTAAAAATGTCCACTGACAACAGTGGTTCTCATATTTTTGGGTTTTAGAAACTCCTTTTGCATTCTTAAAAATGGTAAGAAATCCTCAGAAAGCTTTTCCTTATGTGAGTTGTATTTATCTATATTTGCCATAAAAGAAATTAAACCTCAAAAAATTTTAAAATATTCACTTAGAAATCTTTTTAAAATACTTTAAATATTTCTTTCAGAAATAATAAATAAATCCATTACAAGTGTAGGTCAATAACATAATTTTATGAAAAATAACTATATTTTCCACAAGAACAAATTTAATTAGAAGAATGGCACCATTTTACATGTTTGCAAATCTCTGTAATGTCTGGCTTAACAGAAGACAGCTGGATTCTCCTATCTGGTTTGGCATCCAGTCTGTTGCAATATCACACACCATATAACTTTTCAAAAACTCCAATATATACTTGTGAAAAAATGAGAATGAAAATAGCAAATACTGCCTTAGATTTATTGTAAAAATAGTTTTGACTTCCCAGACCCCTGAAAGGAGGTGAAGGCAAAAAGTAAGTTACTTAGAGAGGCAGGAGTGGAGCCCAGGGGGTCTGATTCTGGACCCCGGGGTGGGGGGGCGGGGGTTGCCCCTTGGAGCCAGGAGGAGAGCAGCGAGGAACCCTTTCATGATGTTTTACGTAGTGGTACAGTTTCAAATTCAATCTTTCAATTCGTGCAAAGCAGAGGTTGGGAGAAGGGAGAGTAACAGCCACAAAATTCATCTGTAAAGGGGCCCAGGCCTGTCCTACAAGGAAAATGGCGTCTTACCTACAGGGTAGGGGAGACACAGCCAAATGTGCTGGAAGCCCCTCTAGGAACAGCTCTCTCCTGCCCAAACCAAGCCATTATCTATGTCTCTGGACTCTCACTCCATCCAACGCTTCTCTACACCACTTGAATTCTGCCTTCAATTCTTTTTTTTTTTTTCCAGTTTTCTTGAGAAAAAAATCAACATATATCGATTGCTGTGTAAGTTTAAGGCATACAGCATGATGGTTTGATTTATGTAGGTTGGGACGTGATGACCACAAGAGGTTCAACTAACATTCATCTTCTTATACAGACACAATTAAAAAATAAGTAAGAAAAAAAAAGGGTCTCCTTGTGATGAGAACTCGCAGGATTTACTTTCCGCGCAGCTTCCCTATAAACCATACAGCGGTGTTAGGTGTACTCATCCTGTTGTACATTACATCCCTAGTACTCACCTTGTAACTAGACGTTTGCACCTTTTAACCAGCTCCCTCCAATTCCCCCTCCCCATCCTCCACGCCCAGTAACCACAAGTCTCATCTCTTCTTCTGAGTTTGTTTTTTTGATGGTTTGTATTTAGATTCCACATACATGTGAAATCATAGGTTGTTTGTCTTTCTCTGACTTATTTCACTTAGCATATCCCTCAGGATTCAACCATGTTGTCACAAACGGCAGGATTTCCTCATTTTTATGGTTGAATAATATGTGTGTGTGTGTGTGTGTGTGTGTACACCACAACTTCCTTATCCATTCATCTGTCAATGAACAATTGGGTTATTTCTATGTCTTATTTTTTTTCAATTAAATGTTTTTCAATTAATTAAAATGTTTAAAAAGAAGAGTAATAAAGAGCCTAGTTCTATCAGATACTAAAACACATTTTAAATTTACAGCAAGTAGGGGCACCTGGGTGGCTCAGTTGGTTGAGCGTCTGCCTTTGGCTCAGGTCATGATCTCAAGGTCCTGGGATCAGCCCCACATGCTCAGGGAGGGCATCTGCTTCTCCTTCTCCCTCTCCGTGCTGCTCCCCCCGCTTGTGCTCTCTCTCTCTCTCTCTCAAATAAATAAATAATAAAATCTTAAAAAATAATAAATTTACAGCAATTAGTATTGGACTGACCTAGCAGAAGATTGAAAGGTAAAGCAATAGATCAGAATACATAGCCCAAATTAGATTCAACTATAGAAAATGCAGTATATTATAAAGTAGGTGTAACAATTCATGATGTAAATGAAATAAACTGTTTAGCAATTTGGAGGGGGAAAAAGTCTATATTTAGACCTTCACTTTTAATCACATGCCAAAATAAATTCTAGCTAGATTAACTGTTTTTACAATAAAGAGTGGGCAGAGGCTGGGAAAGGCAGGACCAGATCTCATTCATCACTGCGCTCCCAGGGGCTCGTCCGGGGCTGCTGGGCAGCTGCCCAAACACAGGGAACTACCTTGAGCTCTGACTCTGCTGCTAGCCCCTTGTGCCCTCTTGGGCAAGTCACTTTGCTTCTCCGTCCCATAAAGTGTGCAGAGTAATGACCCCAGCTGCACGAGAACACCCATTACGAGCTTCAGAGTACTATACAAATTAACAGAAGGAATGAAGACTAGGAAGCTACATCCATCCCTGTTGCTATGATTCGAATATGCGTAGCATTAATATTTTAGAAAAATAATGCCAATTTTCTTTGTAATCTTCTTTACTTAATAAAGTAGACAATTTAGGTTGTAAAAATATACACTTTCCCTTGGGGTCTCAGGAAAATTTTTAAATTTTGAATGGGAAAAAGATGCATCCCATAAGCATGTCTATTTTTCCTGAATTAGCACTTTTACCCAAAAAAGACCTGGCATCAGTGCTCTAAGAGAGCTGGGAGGTTTTCTTTTCACTGCTTCTTTCATGGGGCCCAAAGGCAGGAGACAAGTCCAGGAGGTCCGCGAAGGGCGAGGAGGGGCGGGGGAAGGGGGGAGCGGAGCACGGCAGAAGACTTAGAATTTTAAAACCCTGAAATGACCTTGAGCAAGCTATTTACCTTTTCTTTGTTTCCAGAAACTGGAGATGCCAACTCTTACCATACAAATAAAAAGACTAAGATGAGGTCATACACACGAGCGCCCTGCACCCAATTACAGGTCTTTTGTCAGCCAGCAAGCCTTGAGTAAATGCTGGCTTCTCTTCTCTGCTGCCCTTCTCTCTCATAAGCTCTCCTGGTCCTCCTCCCACTTTCCCTGGCCTCTCTCACAGTCCCTCTCTCCCCTGCCCCCAGGAGAGCCCTGCAGCTTCAGCAACGGGTCTGAGGCAAAGGCCATCCAGGTATTTGGTCGTGCATGTCAAATGCTCCCCACCCCATCCCAAACCCTACCACGGCCACCACCGCCCCCTCCTCCCCCCCCGCCCAGTCATTTTCATCCTCAGGTACTCGCACTCCACGGTCGCTCTCTCAGCCCGCACCAGTGCCTGAGCGCCTGGAGCCCCGCACGTGACCCGCACACTTCCTTGGCAATAGCTGAGCCAGGGCTCACAAAGGGCCGACTACAGTGATGGTTCTGGAACGTAATTCTCAACCTTATCCCCTGCTGTAAGGCCCATAAACACAGACGAGGTATAAAACTCAGCTTTATAAGGTGCTACTATAAAGTAATCAACTGGACTGCACCTCTCAGTCTCCTCTCCTGCAGTCATACCTTGTGCCTCAGGTGTAAGAAACTAAACAACACGTATAGTGACAATATGTCACAAATAAAAGAAAATTGTACACTGTTCCTCCAGTTTAAAGCACTTAGGCCCTTGACCAGTCCTGGAAGTGATGGCACAAAACTGTCCCTCTCCAGTTCCACTCCGTCTCTTCCCACAGCCCTGCTGGGCTCTGTGTCCTAGGCTCTGAGTTTTGAGACTGTGATCCCACCAAATGTTCCTCATTCAGCTCGCTGCTCTTCTGGAAGAACCGTTTCATGGCTGCTCCGTGGATCCCACAACTTCTGTTCTTCTCCTGGATCGTCTCCCTCTGCCTTTTTTTTTTTCTTTCTGGTCTCGAACTATTCCATCCCCTTTACTCCATTCCTGATCTACCAGTATTCATGTCTCTCTCTCATCCTTTATGTTCTTTTGTTTGGGTTCGTTTTGTTATTTTACTTGGGGAGTGCATCATCATTTAAGCATAATTAATCTTTCCAATTCATGGCTTGATAACACATACTTATTTATTTTATCTTAATTTTTAAAGATTTATTTATTTATTTGAGAGAAAGAGAGCACAAGTGGGAGGGGCAGAGGGAGAAGGAGAGAATCTCAAGCAGACTCCACACTAAGCACAGAGCCCAGCACGGAGCTCAATCTCACAACCCTGAGATCACAGCCTGAGCTGAAACCAAGAATCTGAGGCTTAACCAACTGCACCACCCAGATGCCCTATACTCATTTTAAAAAGAAATTCTGCTCATTCAATCAACAGTTATTTACTGAGCACCAACTAAGTCTCTAGCACTAATGCTCCAGCAGAGTTCACCTCCCTCACAGAACTTACAGTCTACAGGTTGAAATGGGCAATGTGGATATCCTTTTCACCAGACTATAAAGAGTAAGAAACAGTATTGATTTGAAGCAATCATAGGAAAATAAAAAATTTAAATAGCATAATAAGGGGCACCTGGGTGGCTCAGTCGGTTAAGAGTCCAACTCTTGGTTTCAGCTCAGGTCATGATCTCATGGGTCGAGGGATCAAGCCCCATGTTGGGCACCACATTCAGCAGGGAGTCTGCTTGAACATTCTCTCCCTCTGCCCCTCCCCCTACTCACATGCCCCCACACACTCTCTCTCTCAAATAAATAGATATATAGCATAATAAATCCAAGGACTGAAAAACAGACAAGAGCCCTCTTCTACTGTAAGAGTTGTATCAGTAATTTAGAATTAGAACAAAGAAAACATTGCCAAACCTCACATCCACTGTATTATTCGCCTCATGGTCAAACACTTCAAAAGCCTCCTTGATTTTTTTGTGATATTCTGCTACGGCTATCTCTGCAAAAGACAAAGTAAATAAAAGGTGTTTTACTTTACCTTTGAATTCAAAACAAAAATTTCAACCACTAAGCTAGAAATTCTCAATGAGGAAGAGCTCATGCAGAATTCTTTCCTAATCTTAGCATCATGTAGCATGTTCATCTTCATCTAGAGATAGCAAGGAATGGACAGACTCTCGTTTCCTGAGGCACGAGACACACATAACACAGTACCAGCGGTGCACTACTCTTGAGTACACAGTGCCATGGATTTCGTGTGTATGTAGTCATGAGGTCACCATGCAGATCAAGGTATAGAATGCTTCCAACACAGCCTATCTTTTGTCGCAAGTAGTCTGGGCAGAGTCCCAGCCCAAGAGGGAGAAGGAGTCCAGCTCTACGGATAGAGTGTGACTCACTGGTGTGCCTGCCTATGCACTTGAGGAGGGCTGAAGTTGGGGAGTGGGAGGCATGCAAAAGCAACACAAGACACTCTCTCAAAGGGCTTTCAAACTAGTTTTGAGACTAAGACTTACTTATAAGAAACGATTAAAAAGTCATTTATTCAATAAACATTTATTGAGTCTCTGCTAGGTGCTAGACACTATTCTAACTGCTAACATTATAACAGGGAACAAAACGGACAAAAATGCCTACCTCCACAGAGCTGTTTTTATTGAGGGAGATATATAAGCTTCTACATATTTGGTAAAAATACACTGTTAAGTCAAATGGTGCTGGAAAAAATAAAGCAGGTAAGGGACACAGAGTGCTGGGGGGGCGGGGTCTTGAGAAAGGAGTGGGGTGGTGGTTTCGGAAGGCCTCCTTAGTGATAAGGTGTCTTCTGCACAGGGGGAAAACCCAGCCTTATGAATATCTACAGGAGGAGTTTTTAGGCAAATAGAACCACAGAGGCAGAATGGCACAAATAAGGTCAGAAAGGTGTGATTTTAGGGGGGGAGGACAAGTTCTATATGGTCTCTGTATACTGCTTTAAAGATTTTGTCTTTTACTTTAAATGAGATGGTGAACCACCGGAAGGTTCTAAGCAGTGACGTGACATGGCCTGGCTTATAGTCATTTCAGTTATAATATTAAGAATATACCAGAAAGGGACAAAGATGGAAGGAGAGACCAGTTAGGAGGTTATTGCAGTATTCTAGAGAGAGTCTAATGGTGACAGGACAAGGATGGAAACAGTTGGAGATGGTGAGAAATGATAGGATTCTGGATATATTCTAAAGGGCAGAGTAGACAAGACTTGCTGATAGGTCTGATGTTAGATGCAGAGGAAAAGAAAGGGGTTGAGGTTGACTCCAAGGTGTTTGGCTGAGTGGAAGAATAAAGGGAAAAACAATGCAGTCAAGTCTCAAAATTCATTTTTCAAATAATAAGTAACATAGGACGCCCAGAAAGGGAGAGATTGAGTTCATATACTCACTTTAATTATAAATGTATTACCATCAAATTGCAGAAAATAGGAAAAAATTTACTCATATTCCCTACGAGTAACATTACCCTAACATAACCACTCATCACTTTGCTATATTTTCCTCCAATCTTTCTTCATACACAACTTTTTATATGTATCATTTAAGAACTACCATTCATTCACTCAACAAAAACTTACTGAATGAAACACTATGTACCAGATTCTGTGTCAGGTGCCATACCTACATTTATAACCAGAGATAAGTATCGATCAAAGCTCAGAGAGGTCTGGGGTGCCTGGGTGGCTCAGTCAGTTGAGCATCAGACTCTTGATCTTGGCTTGGGTCATGATTTTGGGGTCGTGGGATCAAGCCCTGCCTCGAGCTCCTCGCGCTGGGCGTGGAGCCTGCTTAGGATTCTTTCTTTCCCTCTCCCTCTGCCCCTCCCCTCACTCGGGCTCTCTCTCTCTCTAAAAAAAAATAACACACACACACAAAAAAACAAATAAAATACAATAAAGCTCAGAAAGGTTAAGCAACTGGTGCAAGATCACAGAGTTGCCAAGTGGCAGAGCTGGACTGAACTGGATCTATCTCACTTGAGAGATCCTGCTCTCTCCCACACTCTACCCCCCACTTCACTAACTGCTAGTACTCATTAGTTTAAAAACCATAACTCCTAATCACTTCATAACCTATATAACCTTCCATTTTAACAGTACCAAAGGAATATACCACAATTTATTGATATTAATTTTTCTTTATCATAAAAAACATGACAATGAACCATGTTTGCTAATTTAAAAAGCAAAAAAATAACTGTTATCTCATTATTTAAATTTATACTTCCTTGATTACAAGTGACTCTGAATGATGATCCATATGCTTGTATGTGACTTCTTTCTATGCTGTGAGCTATCTGTTCCTGCTCTCTGCTCACTCCTACTAGGATCTTCCATTTTTTTCTTAGCAATTTGTATGTGCTCTTTAAATAATGAAGACTTAACCCCGTGTCATAATTACTGCAAACAATTTTTCAGGTTAGTTGTTTGCATTTGTTTTCCTAAAATAAAACCAGTTTCATATCCTTGCTGATCATCAATATCATACATGATTACTGGAGGAAAAAAAAGGATATGTAAGAAAGAGTTTAGATTAAGTAAAAATCACTTCAAATCCTACCATGCAGAGTTAGCTACTTTTATTGTTTTCTCCTAATCTAATTTTCACTCAACAATAAATTGGGAGCATCCTGTACTCTCAAAAGAATATTGATTACATTATCATTTTTAGTGACTATTTGGTATTCCATTATAGAGCTTTATCATAATTTAGCCAACCCTCTAATTGTAGACATTTCAGTTGTCTCCAATTTTCCATTGTTATAATTATTTAGTGAACAATCTTGCCCAACTCATCTTTGTGAGTTTGTCTTATTATCTCACTGAACTACAATGAGTTGAATACAGTTGGATTTGTGTGGGGTATTGGGAAGGTTCTAATTAGTCATCATATTGTCTCAGGAGGGGCGCCTGGGTGGCTCAGTCGTTAAGTGTCTGCCTTCGGCTCAGATCATGATCCCAGGGTCCTGGGATCGAGCCCCGCATTGGGCTCCCTGCTCCGCGGGAAGCCTGCTTCTGCCTCTCCCACACTCCCTCTGCTTGTGTTCCCTCTCTTGCTGTGTGTCTCTGTCAAATAAATAAATAAAATCTTTAAAAAAAAAATTGTCTTGGGAAAGTCTCACTGGTTATAACACTGCCAATGCACAAAGCTGTTATCTGCTTTTTAAATTTAAGGTCATTTCATTTATTTTTTAAGTTTTTATTCAAATTCCAGTTAGTTAACATGCAGTGTAATATTAGTTTCAGGAATACAATATAGTGATTCAACACTTCCATACAACACCCAGTGCTTATCACAAGTGCCCTCCTTAATCCCCATCACTTATTTCACCCATCCTACTGCCCTGCCCGCCCCCCACTCCCCTCTGGTAACCATCAGTTTGTTCTCTATAGTCTGTTTCTTTGTTTGTCTCTTTTTTTAATTTTCCCTTTGCTTGTTTGTTTCTTAAAGTCCGCATAAGGCTGAAATCATATGGTATTTGTCTTTCTCTGACTTATTTCACTTAGCATAATACCTTCTGGTTCCGTCATTGCAAATGTCAAGATTTCATTTAAAAAAAAAAATTTTTATTATTATGTTATGTTAATCATTTTTTGATGGCTGAGTAGTATTACACTGCGTATATATACCACATCTTCTTTATCTATTCATCAGTCAATGGACACTTGGGCTGTTTCCAAGATTTGGTTCTTGTAAATTATGCTGCTATAAACATCGGGGTGCATGTATCCCTTTAAATTAGTATTTTTGTATTCTTTAGGTAAATACCTAGTAGTGCAACAGCTGGATTGTAGGGTAGTTCTATTTTTAACCTTTTGAGGAATCTCCATACTGTTTTCCAGAGTGGCTGTACCAGTTTGCATTCCCACCAACAGTGCAAAAGGGTTTCCCTTTCTCCACATCCTTGCAAACACCTTGTGTTTGTTGTCTTGTTTCTTGTGTTGTTGAGTTTAGCCATTTTGACAGGTGTGAGGTGGTAACTCATTGTGGTTTTGATTTGTATTTCTCTGATCAGTGATGTTGAGCAGCTTTTCATGTGTCTGTTGGCCATTTGCATGTCTATTCATTTCTTCTGCCCATTTTTAAATTGGATTATGTCTTCTGAGTGTTGACTTTTACAAGTTCTTTATATATTTTGGATACTAACCTTTTATCAGATATGTTATTTGCAAATATCTTCTCCCACTCCAAAGGTTGCCGTTTAGTTTTTTTGATTGTTTCCTTCGATGTGCAAAAGCTTTTTATTTTGATGAAATCCCAATAGTTTATTTTTGCTTTTGTTTTCCTTGCCTCTGGAGACATATCTAGAATGAAGTTGCTACAGCCAATGTCAAAGAGGTAACTTACCTGTGTTTTCCTCTAGGATCTTTATGGTTTCAGGTCTCACATTTAGGTCTTTCATCCATTTCGAATTTTTTTTTTTCTGGTGTAGAAAGTGGTCCAGTTTCATTCCTCTACATGTTGCTGTCCAGTTTTCCCAACACCACTTGTCTTTTTCCCACTGGATATTCTTTCCTTCTTGTCAAAGATTAATTGACCATATAATTATGGGTTCATTTCTGGGTTTTCTACTCTGTTCCATTGATCTATGTGTTTGTTTTTGTGCCAGTACCATACTGTTTTGATCACTACAGCTTTGTAATATAACTTGAAGTCCAGAATTGTGATGCCTCCAGCTTTGCTTTTCCTTTTCAAGATTGCTTTGGCTATTCAGGGTCTTTTGTGGTTCCATACAAATTTTAGGATTGTTTGTTCTAGCTCTGTGAAAAAAAATGCTGTTGGTATTTTTATAGGGATTGCATTAAATGTGTAGATTGCTGTGGGTAGTATAGACATTTTCACAATATTTGTTCTTCCAATCCATGAGTATAGAATGTCTTTCCATTTCTTTGTGTCCTCTTCAATTTGTTTCATCAATGTTCTATAGTTTTCAGAGTACAGGTCTTTCACTTCTTTGGTTAGGTTT